ACGAGATTCTTATGATAATATCAACAATTTACTAATGATGTCTTTACATCTGACTGAATCCTTGAGGACATCTTAATAAAAGATAAATATTTATAATTAATATTATTTATTATCTAATTCCTATCAACGGGCATAGTACAGAGTTGTAAGAATAAATTTTAATTAATTATCGGTTTCCTTTTGACATTTTATTATTGCCATTACTGTATAGCTATTTCAGTGATTTCAATATCAACATATATATCAATATAGTCGCAATATCAACAGCTTGCAGTTTTCACTTACACATAATATGGTCACACAACACTCGTCCAATAAAAAATTGCTTGATTGTATTTCTTACCCCTTTGAACGTTGAATAACCTATGCAAATAACCGGGAAAGCCTTAATTTACATTGGGAGCTTCAATTGGGTGAAATGACGGCTAAAGCATAAACCAATCTCTTACACCAAACACATTCACTTTGAAATTATATTTCACACAAATGAAGCTCGCTATACATATTTTTTTTGTATTATTTTTTTGTGTTTTATTTAATGTTTTAACTTTAACTTACATATTTAATACTTAGATTGATAAAACGTGTGCCTTTCAGATGTTGTCATTGGTGGGAAAAGTCTTTGTATAAGGTACACACGCTTTTTTAATCACCTTAATTGAAGTGCAAATCTGGAAATGTTAACGATAGTTTATTGGATTTTGTTAGCCGAAGCTTCCTTGACTTATCTTGATGGAATTGACTAAAGATAGTCCGCTGTCTGAAACCCTCAATAAATGTCTAATACATAAAATAACTCGTCAGTTTCTCAAAAGAAAATGCCTTGATAATATATGAAAATAATCAGGCGTATATCAATTAATATAAAATATAAAAAGGTGTTCCGATAAAATCTCTAAACAGCACTTTTAATCAATAAACCTGTGAAGGTCCAATCTTTAAAAAACACCCCCGAAAAATGGAATCTTCCTCATAAAAAACGCTTTACCTTTATACTATTTACCTTGTTTGAAAGTATTAAATGTGTTGCACGAGTAGATTTAGGGTAAATAATCCGAACTTAATCCAAACAATAACAAACTATTTAATGCCATGATATTTAGGTATTTACATAATTACCTAAAAAAATTATTAATATTGAATACAATTTAAAAAAAAAAACTATTTAAAGCTCCACTCTTGTGAAACACTTTATTCCATGTTATACAGGTACTGTGGCACAAGAACAGGAGAATTTAGAAAAAAAAACAATCTCGAAATGCTTTCTAATATTAAATGGACATTTCATGGCAGAATGGACGCACAGCGCAGCGTTATTAAAAATATATTATATATGCCTAATACTTTTTTACTCACAAAGTCTTGCGCTTGTCATAAAATACATTTTTGTGTATACTAAAACCATTCTGTCACGAAATTAAATGCTCACTATTGTTCAATACAAAGTAACACGTGACGTTTATGAGGGCACGTCACTACATACTTTGTGCTTCCATTAGAATTAATTCTAAATAGTCCGTGTGCATAAAAATAGGATCTCAAACTGGGAACAATGATTGTAAGGTTAATAAAACTAAATAATTAAAATATATAAAACTGACTTTAGCAATTTTGATCTACAACTTATACATGAATTACATATACGTAGTTTTAGATGTTACATTTCAAACTGTTGTTCCAATGGCCACCGCGCTAGGGTCTAGTCACCAAAGATTTGTTATGGTGGTATGTCCATTACCTGGCACCGACCATGGTGAGTGCTTATATGCGAAATAAAACCACCGAGTTAGCAATTGTACGCCGTTTAATGAGGTCTTAGTGTTTTAATACATAAGTTATACATAAAATAGTGAAAAGTGTCACACTGTCCGGTCGCGCAATGAACATACCAGCATAAACTGAGCGTAGTTACTTGTGAACGGGCAAGAACCTAGGACTGTGACGACACTAGCCGCGCCACGCCTGCCGCCTCGCCCCATATACATTTTATCTAAATATACTTTTATATAATCTACACAGTTCCGCCCAATTTTAATTAGCAAAGCAAATCTGCACACGCCACCCACAGTACAATCTGAAGAACTAAGAGAGGGCCCAGAGAGTGCACAATAATACTAAATTGCATCTAATATTTACAATTGCACAAAGTGAGGTCTTCAAATTTAGTGCAAATTACGTTTTTGTTAGAAGTGTATTTTTTAAATTAAACAATGCAAGTTGTTTTTCTCTTAATATCTGTAAATTAAATATAAAGGACCATAAGCAATTAAGTTTACAATAAACTGACGACAGAACAGTAAAATATGATATATTAATATAGGAACAATTAGTTTATTATTTAATTTTCAATAATAAAGAAATCTATATAAAAGTACACAGCATGTAACCATCTTTTATGACAAAAAAATTATTGAACCTGCCTATATTTCACAACGTAAATAAAGGGAACTCATATTATGAAAAACTGCATTCCAATAATTGTCTATCTGCCTTTCTTTTTCTTTTTGTATAGAATAATAATATATGACAAATACAAACTGTCACCTCAAATCTGACATGTCACTTCTCATCTTATCTATATACAACTAATCTGTGCATCTAATCTCAATATCTCACCGTACATTACTATAATTATGACTAATAATACTTCAAACAGTACAATAATCACAATTTTAGTACAAAGTGTATTGAGTAATATGTAGTGAGTGTAGTTAAATAATTTAAATATAACAATGATTTGATTCATCGGGTCAATTGTAAACTTTATTGTTTATAGTATAGGCCTTTTACTTCTAAATTACAGATAGACCTAAATTGCTCTGAAAATATAGTTGCCAAGTGGCACTATGTCATAAACCATAACTCAAAATATGGATGTCCTATTCACGAAACAATAGCTTTTGTTAAGTTTAGACAAGTTCTGTCCAAGTCACAATAATGCGGGAACGGTGTTTAAGTTGGCCGAGCGCGAGAAACAAAGAACTAATATAAAATTTATAACGAGCAATAATTTTTTGGTTAGTTTATAGCATATGCAGTTATTTTAGTTATTGCCCAATGGCTTCCAGCTGTAAGTTCGTAGCATAAGTATTATTTTTCGAAAACGGCAAAAGTAGTTACGTTACAACTCAAGCATTGATGTCAAATAATCCATGAAGCAAGTGCACAGTGTTCAGAGTATATTTCACATATAAGCGGTGTCTTGTGACTTGTAATAATTCACATGAAATTTACATGGAATCGAAAGGATGTTGTTGCAGTTAATAATCAACAAAATAGATTAACTAATTTCTGATATATTGCGAAATCTAAAAAAATATATCTAATAAAAATAAAATAATACCAGTCCAATTGAAAACCTATTGTTTCTTTTAAAGTTAACACAAGACTCGCGTCGTAACGCCAGTGAGTGATAGTTCTTAAGCATTTGCGGGGTGGCGGGTGCGGTTTGTGTAGGGGGAGGGGCGGTGGGGGTGAGGGGGGGGGGGAGGCAGCCGGCGAGGCGGCCTGCGTAGGAGGCGCCGCGGGCACGACACTGCATCTTGAACGCCTCCGCTGTAAAGTATAACCAACTTTGTTAAACAATCTTTATCTTTCATTTAAAATAATTGCTTAAATAAAGCTTAGTCATATCCGTTAAAAATAACATAAAACAAAAGGGCTTGACAATTTTTATCTGGATAAACAATATGTTTTAAGTTTGCTACATGGTAGACACATGTAGTTGTGGCACGATGGGTCGAGTTAACCAGAAAAGACCACACTCTCACAGAATAAGCTTAATAGTGCTGTGCTTCATATGTTGAGTGTAGATAACCGGAGACTCGTAACTGGAAAGATGGCAAACCATCTTAGTCCTCAGGAGTGACAACGCATCTGCATTTTGATTCTTACTTTTGGGATTTGGATAGATGTGGATGCAGATGGGCTGTGTGCTCGTTTGTCACCGTTATCCTATAAAAAAAATATTAATGGTTACAGTTCAAAATTGTTTGAAATTTACTCCATTGGAACATTTACTCATATAGTAAAGCCATTTTGTTGTTAAATATTTCACAATGCTCCAGCCGCACCGGTAAAATTTCACAAGTGAATGTTAGTGCTGTAATATCAGAAAGAGAAATAACTTTTTTACCCGTTAGCAGCCCTGTATTCATTCTAGCAAAGGTCAAACAAACTTATTACGAAAAAAGTGGGATTGACTCTCTAACTATGTCAGCAGTAAGCAAAAAAGATATTAGAGACTGCAATAATTCTATTTTTTATTTAGCGACTATCATGTAGATTAAATTAATATCTTTTGGTAAATAAATTATATGCTAGATGATCAAACTGAAAATGTTTTCATCATCTGTCATCTAAGTGTTTATCTAGATAACTAATAAATCATATTGTGTTGGATTTAGTGATTACTTTAAATTGTAATTCTTGATGTTTTATGTTAACAACACCAAAAGTTTTAAGTTGAAAGTAGTCTTTGTTACCATTGGTGCTATAAAGTGCCCGAATCATCGGCAATTAAAAAAGTTAAAATTAAATGCCATAAAATCCTTTAAATTAGTTTTATTAAATATTTGGTAGTTGTGTCAATATAAGAGAAATGATTATGTCAATTTCACTTAAAAAATTACTGTATACTATATTCACTTATTTTAACAGTGAATATGAAAGAAAAAATTATACACTATAATAAAGGTACAGGGGATGGTGTTGTGGTGGTGTAAGAATATCCACTAACTTATATCATCCCGTTGGTGTTGTAAGAGACAACAGAGGGAAACAAACCAGATGGGCAGCAGCATCTTACAGCTGCATAAACAAAAACTGCAGTTGCCAACCCACTTGCCAAGCGTAGCAACTATGGCAAATATCCCCCCCTATAAAGTAATCTATAGCGGAGGCCTATATTCTTAATTATGCCATAACGGTAAACTTAAAAAGTATAAATGAAACAAAAAAACTAAGATGTGACTGACCGTGTGCGCGGGAGAGTAGTGCGCCTACATGAAGTAGTCGGGCGTCCGCCGCGTCACGTGCGGCTCGCCGCGCCGCGGGGCCGGGTCGAACTGCAGGCTGCGCACACACACGCGTTAGCACTCACGCACTCACCACTCGCACTCACTGCACCCACTCACACCCTCACCACATGCACACATTAATGCCTGTTGCAGCTCACGCATAGTACTTCCCACAAGGTAATACTTAGTAATACATGTTCAAAATTAATTCGCTAAGATCCTACATACACTACCAGTCATGATGCAGCTATATTATGGTTGTAGCACGAGTGGGTCGGCTCGATTGGGATAGGACCACACTCTCATAGAATACCAGCGTGAAATAACAACTTAGTGCTTCATATGGTCAGTGTAGAGAACCAGAGACTCTTTTTTCTGGAAAGAGGCCACCTGATGGTAAGTGAATCAGAAGAATCGAAATGCAGATGCACTGTCACACCTGAGGACTAAGATAAATGACTAGTTTCCAGTAAAAAAAGTCACCAGTTCTCTATACTCACCATACGAAATACAGCAACATTAAAGTGCTATTTTATATTGGTATTCTGTGAGAATGTGGTTCTTCCCCAGTCGAGCCAACCCATTTGTGATACAACCATAATATAATATAGCTGCAGCGTAGCTTCTACCACGTGTGTAATAAAATGGAGAGAACCATTTCTCGGGGAGCAGCGTCAGAAATGCGAATAGTCTAATACCATGAATCCTCTGAAGTATAGTAGTTTACACAAGAGTAATAAAACAGGGAAAACTAAATTTCGGGGAGCAAACTCACGAGATGCGAAAAGTCTTGTACCATGATATTTCAGGCTAATCCTCCCTGCAACCGATGTCGATGGCATCATATTATGTTGTCATGAATTGATGTTATTTGTGTTAAACTTTAACCCATACATAAGTAATTTATTAAAAAAGACAACAATTCAACGCCGAGTGAATTAAATTAGTCCTTAAACATATTTTTATTTTTATTTGCTTGTCGTACAAAAAAGAAAATAAGGGACCGAAGCTATCAGTCATTAGGATCAATAGGAAGGGTTTACCCTTCCTATTCAGGAAAAGGGCTATATATAAACACTAGCTTCGGCGTGTGCCCTTCAATACATCTTTCCATCTCCGTGCTGCTCACATACAGGCACAGTTGGTATTGCTACTAGTTCATCCTCGTTCACTAGCAATTTTTAAACTATGAACTGACACTATATAGCACACGACTAAGTAATGAACTAAGTTATTTTTTTTATGTGTAAATGACTATGCGTTCTTTACAACAGACAAAATGTATCTACCGAACAGTCCAATAAAGGTTACCAACCCTTTTAACAGTCTGAGTATAGTATCTTCGTAGTCCACTACCCCAAAAATTGTTTATACAGCATGAATCAAGGTATCTGGCTACTACACAACTTTTATTAGATTTGCTGTGCACAAAACCTATTTAGTGTTTATCAAAGAGTCAGTACAAACACTCGATAAATTAGTGAGCTTACCATCGATCACTAATAAAAAACTAGATGCACAATCCCATACAAAAGTTCTCTAAAAACTGTCGCTAAATGTTTTGACGTAATTCTAGTTGATATAAATATACATTAATGTAAATTCAATCTTAAGTGATATGCTTAAAGTTGTATTCACAAAGCAACGTTCAAAAAGCAATAAAATTTTACGACCGAGGCTCTTCGCTTGGACTAGGAGAGTGGAGTCGAACTGCACAATATTTTTTGTTACTGTAATTATAATTTTATAATTTTTTTAAACTTGTTTTAAATAATTGGTCTACTTAATAAAGCATATTCTATTCTATTCTATAGTGTATATCGCTCATTTGGAGAAACATCGACGTAAATGTAATTTTTTCCAAAAATTAGATAAATATGACAAATCACTTAGAAAGTGTATTTACGTTAGGAGAAACAAAGACGTAAATCAAATTCAGTCTATTTATCGGTAGGTAGCGCTAGCGTCGTTGTTGCATTTATGCTAACTCGCAAAGATCTCGCGGAAACAGCGACGCATCGGTCAGTTGCGCGGGGAGCTCCGCAAAGTGTATTTGTGTTTGGGTGCTACATCGACGTAACGGTAATTATGACATTATTTTTCGTTCTTTTTGGGGCTACAACGACGGAATGAACATTTTCGACATTGTTGTCCCAAAATATATTTGTTTTTGCAGAAGCAATGACATAATTTTTGTAATTTCCTATTAGTAATGTCGTTGTTGGTAGAAAAATATTATTATTTGGTTCAAATACGCTTAAACATTTCTTTGCGAAATTATTTAAATATATACATTTTAAAAAGAGCAAGCCAGCTTATTTTCACGATACCTGGCCAAGTATTTTTGTTGTGTTGTATTACATGAAATGTTCGTATAATTCTTTTTCGTCTGCGTGAAGTCGCAGTAAACTTCCTAAATTCCACGTGGGATTATTTTAGTCTTTGAAGTTAGATTTACTTTTTAAAAATTTCTTTTATGTTGTATCATGTACAGTTAATGCATTTCACGAGCGCGCGTCAATAGTTGTAATTTAAGCCTTATGTGAATGTAAATAAAAGTCACATGACGCGCGCTGGTGATATATAATTTTGTTTTGATTTCCTATTCATTTATTTTTAGGTTATTTACAATAATGCAAGGACGTGGTAGAAAGTTGGTCAATTTAGTAATGGATAGACACGAACCATCATCTATTGACACAATGACGTATTTAAATAATGTCAATATTGTTGGTGTTGCTGATCAGAGTGGGAATGGTACGTGTAAAATAGGCAGACAACTAGACTGTTTTTTATTTTGGTTTTGTTTTGCTATAATTTATTAATTTTCTTTTAGCCAATAGAAATGAACAAGTTGAGAGTATTTATCCTGACTTGCCAAGTTTGCAAAACTCTCCGTATCACAATGAAGATATTTCAAGCATTTTTAATAACGTCGCAGAGTATGACACAAGTAAACACGAATCAGAAACCTTCGAATTCCAACCTCTTCGTGATCTTAAGAAATCTACATCAACTTTATCCTCATCTAGCTCTGATTCTGAAGACTCGACTGCCAGTAAGTCGATTTTGACACAAGGGAACGTTTCCACATTAGAACAAGATAACTATGTCGTTCCTCTTGTGTCTGAATTCCAGCTCCATTTACCAGCCAATAATAACTCGCAACCAGAAATATCTGAATTAGTTTTACCAAAATCCATCGAAAATAGTGCAAATGTAGATGGCAAATATTTAAAATCAGACTGTGAAGATTTTTCACCAGATGACAGTGGTGATGAATATCAGCCAGCAAAACGCACTCGCAAAATGTCTTCATCTAGTTCAAGCAGTTTCTCTTCATCGTCATCAAGCTCATCATCAAGCAGGTCCACTTCTTTTCACTCTACTACACGCAGGTCCAACTTAATGCAATCTGGCGAGACTCGAGATTATATCACAGCAAAATAATCATTCCAGTAACAATGTGATGCCAAATGATGGATCACCCCAAAATACAGATAATATTGTTCAATCTCCTAATAAAAATAAAAAGAAAAGGGTGAGGAATGAGGCTCAGTGGAAGAAAAATAAAACAAAACAATTAAAAAATTTGGGTAAACAATATACATCTCGCACTGGTAAAACTGTTCCTGCCAAAGCAATGAAGCCGCCTTGTTCAGACAAGTGTCGATATTTGTGCTCGAACAAATTTTCAGAGGAGCAGAGGCGTGAAATATTTAATATGTATTGGGCTTTATCATCATTTCAGAGACAACGTGATTTTCTTAATTCTGTAGTTATGGTATTCCTACCAGCCGTGCGTCGTATCAGAACAACGACAAAGAATAGAAAACCTAACACATACTATTCCCTAGTCAACAATGGGCAAAATGTGAGAGTTTGCAAAACTTTCTTACTAAACACATTGGGAATTGCGGATAGAACTTTACGCACTGTGATCGAGGCTAAAACAAGTGAAGGCTTTCTAGGCAGTGCACCAATGGACAGTCGTGGCAAGCATGATCATCATATTAAAACTGATCCAGAAGTCTTGGACTCCGTTAGAGTTCATATAAACTCCATAGCTAGGATTGACAGTCATTATCTCCGTGCAAACACAAGTCGAGAATACATTGATGGTGGTCTCACACTAGCTGATTTACATCGTGACTACAAAAACATGAGGGAATCCGATAAGAAAACTGCTGCAAACTATGATTTATACTACCGAATATTTACTAAACAGTTTAACATTTCTTTTTTCATCCCCAAGAAAGATCAGTGCGATCTATGTGAATCTCGTAAAAATGCAGTTGACGGTGATGAAGTGTTAGAAAATCAATATTTGGAACACCTGCGCCAAAAAGAACTCAGTCGAGCTGAAAAAAAGAATGACATTGAGACTTGTAAAATGTCTGAAAGCAATAGCATTGTAGCTATATTTGATTTACAAGCTGTGATGCCTGTACCGATTGGAGAATCATCAGCTTTCTTTTATAAGTCTAAATTAAATTGTCTGAATTTAACTGTAAGTTACTCTTGACTTTTTTATTTCATAAACTACAATTTTATTTCTTAATACAATAAATTTCTATTAATTTTTTAGATCACTGATATAAAAAACAAGGAGACGATTTGTTACTTCTGGCATGAGGCTTTAGGAGGTCGGGGTGCAGTTGAGATCGGTTCCTGTGTCTACAAATTCCTGCAAAAAGTATCTGATAAATATCCTAATTCTGACGTTACGTTTTATACCGATAACTGCTGTGGACAGCAGAAGAACAGGTGAGTTGGATAAATGAATTGACTATTTTCAATAATTCTACATTCTTAATCTACCTAAATTATGAATATTAATGTAAGTATTACATTTTATTTTAACGTTTCCAGATTCATTTTCTCAATGTATCTGTATGCCGTCAAAACATTACGAATCAAAACCATCACTCATAAATTTTTGATCCGCGGGCATACCCAAAATGAAGGAGACACAGCGCACTCGTTAATAGAAAAAGCTATTAAAAAATCTAAAAAGTCTGGGCCCATATACGTGCCAGAGCAATACGTTCAAATCATAAGGTCTGCAAAAAAAATGGCAATCCATTTATTGTAGAAGAGTTAAACTATGACGATTTCTATGATCTCAAAAACTTAGCGGAAGAAATTGGACTAAACACCGCAAAAGACGTACATGGAAACACCATTAAAACGAATGATATAAAAATGATTAAATTTCAAAAGGAAAATGGAACATATAAATTTAAAACTGGATACGAGGAAGACTGGACAGAAGCCGTTACAAAAATCTCCAGACGAAATAAGGGAGACACAAAAGATATAATAGATTTAACACTAAAGCCAGCGTATCGTGGAAAAATACCTATTGCTCAAAATAAGAAAAGTGACTTACAAGAACTAATGCAAAAAAATATCATACCAAGGTTTTATTGCAGTTTTTACGACAATGTTTTAAACATTTAAATGGTATCTACTTGGTCAAATTAAGCTAGGTACGTTAAATATAATATTTTGTAAAAGTAGGCCTAACGAAGCTGTGATTGTCGTGCCTTTTGATTCTTTAAGTGAAAATTATCTATTATATAAGTTTAAGTTCCTCAAATATTACAAATTTTATTCGAAATAAATGGATAATAGTTTGATTACTTTCAAAATATGGTTTCATTTTGTCATAAAATCATAAAAAAATGTATACGCAGCACTCTGCGCATTATACTGAATCTTTGGGAAACAAAGATGGAATTGTAGGTATCCGACATATTTTTATTTATTTATTAGAATACCAACATAAATATTCAGCTTTATTGAAAACTACATAAAATTACATTAGTATAGCCACATTTTAAATATAAAAAAATAGGCAAGAGTCATCATCAGGAGACGGTAACACATTACAAAATAAATAAAAACACTTTAAATCACTCTCCTGTAAAATTGGAAAAATAGCAATTACGTCGATGTTTCTCCAAATGAGCGATATGTGTAATGGTTATATTATTACCTGAATGTATGAATGCATTTAGTAATGAAAATAATTGAAACAGTCATAATTATTTATTTATTCTTTATCTTGTGTGAAAAATTTAAAGATATTGCTTGACAAACAAGTTAAATCTAAATATAATAGTTACTAAATATAAAAAATAAGTACAGAAAATTCTTGCAAAATCTAAGAACATTATTGTCCAAATTTTGACGTAATGTTCATATTTACAGATGTTTAAAAAAACGGAAAATACTGAATAATTATAATGATTTCTTATATTTACGCGTTCACTTCACATGTAAATGAAACTAGTTTTACGGATTTTATCGCGTATATTAACTTATTTTATATTCAGTAAAGAACTCTCATTAAATAAAAAAAAATACAATCATACATTAATAACAAAAAAATAAATAAAAAAAAACAATAGCGTTTCCACAAATGGAACAGAATCAACGCATATACCTCGCGAACAATGACGACTTATTTTATTACGACTTAATTTAAAAAATACTTTTTCGATGATTTCTTGACAAAATATTAGTATTTACCATACAGTTATAACAATTAAATAATGTTAATATTAATATTTACCGAAAATATGAAATTCCACCCTTTTTAGCGTCCTGGATATGTGCTTTTTACACTTTTTAAACGAGCACTGAGGCATGTTTACCGTCGGAACATTCGAATGCTACTAGATTAAATGTGCACCCATATGTTCGAGTGGGTGCACATTCGGTTATGCCATTTTTTGTCACTGATTGTGTATCTAGTTTTTTATTAGTGATCGATGGAGCTTACGTAGATTATTTTTAAGCAAATAATGACTATGTACTACGAAGTTTAATTAATTACGTTTTATTCTAGTAATAGGGGCATGTAATACTGTAAGATACTACATTCAGTACTGGAAAGTAAGGATATTATATACAGGGTTGCCAACCCTATATGCATATACCGGTCATATGTTTCAATATCCATTGTCAAAAGGGACATATAAGTCACCTTAGTAGAATTTGATACAGTGACCAAACTCTTTAGTCATCACTTTGCGCTGATAATCATTCCGGAATATTGGACCGTTTGTACAATAAAAACTAATAAAATTGACACTAAACAAAATTTTTCAATAATACAGAACAGTAAATAAGGGAGGTAGTCCCTCTCATTTACTATCTCATACGGAACAAATATAATTTAATAAGAATATACCAATAATATAAAAAAATTATATTTTGATAAACAATACTTACAATGAGTACTTAAGCGCATCATCCAATTCCATAATAGCGGCTTGGTTACCACATCTGCAATAGACATTTCGTGTTATATATATTTATTTCTCTTAACAGTTAATATTGAAGAAAAAACAATACATAATAATAAAAGTACAGTGAGTTTGACGGCTCCGTGGCGCAGTGGCTTAGCAATCAGTTGGTGCGCTGGGGGCCGCGGGTTCGAATCCCGCACGGAACAAGTATTTGTATGGCCTACAAATAATTTTTCCGGGTCTGGATGTTTGTCCTTGTGCAATTTATGTTTGTAAACTGCCTCCACGACACAGGAGAAAATCCTAGTGTGGGGGTAACGTTTTTTTTTAAAAAAAGTAAAAAAAAAACGTATAGTGGTTGTGTAAGAATATCTACTACCCCATACCATCCCACGGGTGTCGTAAGAGGTGACAGCGAGTAACCGAAACAGAACATGGGGAGCAGCGGCATTTTTATAATAACAGCTAAATTTAAATAAACAATGCTGTTATCAACCTGATTGCCAACCTTGTCAACAATGGCTAGTATCCCCCCTATGAGGAAGGCCTATGTTAAGCAGTGGACTTTTGAGTAATGGAAAAAGTACAGCATCTTTAAAAATGGCTGTCAGAAGAAATTACTTGGACAGTTACTAATGTAAACTCTTTAAAAGCAATATTTAATAAAATGTTTTTATATTAAATATACAAGATTCTAGACAAGTACAAATAACATAATTAAAAATTAAAAATTTTGTACAACCAAATTCAATATAAATTATTAAGAATAACTCAAAAACGATTGGTCAGACCTTGATCAAATTTCTATGGGACCACATGGGAAGTACAAGCTATCAAATAAAAAAAAATCATCGAAATCGGTTCACCCAGTAAGAAGTTGAGGTAACACACATAAAAAAACATACAGTTGAATTGTGTACCAGCTTCTTTTTGAAGTCGGTAGAAAATGGGAAGTAATCGTCTCAGTCTGGATATGGTGGTAAGATAAATGTTAATTAATTTGTTATAAGTGATCATTGGGGTAAGTTTATTTCATTCAAAGAATACAATTGTGATCTGTCATACATGTAATCCTAGTACGGACACCAGTCACTTACAAATTGATTGTAGTATATTAATATTATGTTGTATGCTTATGTTAATTACTAAATTTGTGAGAGAAAAGAATAAACTTTATTATTATTATTCAAAGAATACAGATGTTCCCAGGGAAATATAAGAGACAATAGGAACAAATATCAATACAAGCAACTTATATAAACAATGCAAGCTCAGACAAAACAAACTGGTTATACTGTGGAATTTTGTTTATAAATAGTTTTACATAGAAGACACTGCTAAGTCTATAATTATGGATGTAAATAATTAAATATAATTTATATAAAGCAACAAAACAAGATAAGACAAGATAATTTGTTATCTACATAATTTTGTTATATTTGTTAATTGCTCGTTTTCCTGTCAAAATACTAAGAATGATACTTTTTGATTTTATAAATAATTATAATAAATAAAATAATTAAAAAAACAAATATAAAATGAAAAAGGATTTGAACTTTACTGGGCATAAGAATAGAGCATAGTTTTAAAAAGGTAACTGTTTAATTAGGACTTGTTATTTTTCTTTGACTGGACTAAATTTTATTTAGAAAATTTAATTTAAAATAATAAAATAATTTGATCGTTTTGGGTGGTAAGTTTACTCGAATGTGAAATAAGGGTTCTATTATCTCAATCTTACGGGTTTAATCTAATTCTAACTGGGTCCCAGTTAACAGTTTACTCTTAAAGTATATACAATTAAAAAAAAAGTATTTTTAATAAAAGTTCAAAATTGATGATGATATTGCATAACGTCGAGAACCATAACGTAAACGTAACTTCCTCTTTTAAAGTCTGCTAAAACAAAAGTGAAATGGTTCTTTACCCTTAAATTTTGTGAATATACTTTCATAGAATGTATGAGTTACAAAACAATTTATAATAAAGCATGTGAAGAAACCCATATATGGTGTACGGTGGAGCGTTAAACTCACCTATAGCAGTAGTTGGGTGCGGAGAAGATGGTAACTACGTTCCGATCGTGGCACCAGTTGTAGCCCTCCATGACGAGCTGGTGCGCGCGCGACACCAGCGTCAGTCCGTTGCTGTGGTTGAACGTCTCTGAGATGTCCTGCCCGAACGTGTAGCCGGCGCCTCGAGGCGATATGCCCCATCCGCCTCTGTCGAAACGAATGCGCAAAACAATCATTTAAAAGTACTTTAAGCTAGTTAATATTATTAGCTAGTTATTATAAACTGTGCCTTGGTAAAAAAAAACCACGAGAATTAGAAACAAGCCTTTTTCATATTAATCTAACCACACTATAAACAATCATTACCATCATTGCGGTCTATCAAAGTACAATGATGAACATAAGCCTGCCACATAATATACCTTATATGGGTGATTATGGCATAGTTGCCACATATGGCTGGCTGTTAATCTTGGTTGTTATCAAGAAGATACTGGTGTTTCAATTTTCCTCTGTTTCACTGTGTAGTGGCAGCGTAAGAATATCCACTACCCCTATATCATCACATGGACGTCATAAAAGTCGACAGAAAGAAACTATTAACAACACTAGACTATATTTACATAATTATCATGTACTATATAAATCACACGAAAACAAGGCTTAAATTATGCCAAGGACTTTGACTCTGCAAATTGGACTTCAAATCAAGGATCCGTAAATTTATTTCACCTTTACAAACAAACATAACCTTGCGAGAATTTATAACTAAATCTGTCTTTTCACTCACTTATCATAATATATTGTTAATTACTTATATTATTTATCAATATGAAAGAATAATATATTAAATAATTGCCAAAAGTACATATGTCATTATGTAAAAATTGTTCATGTTACAAAATTACCATAAGACTATCAATCCATTTTTATACTGTTTTTAATCAACCTGATTAACTCATTCCGTCAAGGATTTTTCCTTGAGTTTATTAACATTCTTATTATTATGATAATGCATGAATACTAATTTGAATAAACTTGTTAGTAAGGAAAAAAGAATAAGTGATTGAAATGAATGTATTGTAATTGTAAATTCACATACTACTACGCTACTATTCTAGAAATCGCACTATTAAATGACTACAGTATAGAAAAATATGATTACATATTATAAAAAGTAGTTTTCTTTTATTTAAAAAATATCAAATTAACCAATTAAATCATATTAACCAATTGAAGAAATGAATGCAAGACACCATTAGAAATATAAACTTGTAACCTTCTAATAATATGACCCTTTTTACTGGCAAAGAGGCATTCCATCTTAGTCCTCATGGGTGACAACACATCTGCATTTTGATTCGTAATCGAGAATTGATGCAGATGTCTACGGGCCACAGCAACCATTTACCATCAGGTGGACTGTGTGCTCGTTTGTCACCCTTACCCTATAAAAAAAAAAACGCTGCACCAATCTTTTTTGACAGTGATATCTATCATTTATTCAAACAACTTAACTATGAACAATGTAAATGTAATATTATTATCAAATATGAAATCCACAGTGAAAGCATTTGTGCTGCTCTGCTTCCATTCTATCACAACAAAATTGAATTAAGTTATAAAAATTATGTCTATACGATATATTATGATATGGAGCAATCTTCTTTAATAACATATTTTCCATCAATATTTCGATGAGAAATTTAAAATTATGAAGTGACTATTTCAAATCCATCGTATAATTAGGTTCACGGCTAGAATACTACGTCCCTTTTAGAATTTGCTTAGCATTGCTCAAGCTTGCAATGGACTGCTTCAGCTACCCAAACCCTCGTAAGCTGGTTGGTTTGTGAGCATTTAGGTTAGGATGAATTTTTCACCATCGCTGTTTCGTTCTTTCATCGTTTTTTAGAACCTTGTTCTAAAAACTGCAGTGAGTAAATATTTATTCTTAAGGCCCTATTTTAAATAGTTAAGTAGAACTTAAAGCCTCACCTATCATCAGGGTCACTCCATAAGAGATCGCACATGGGTCCTTCGTGGGGAACTTCCTGTACGCGGTCGAGCGCTCTAATGTGGTCGAGTGAGTCGATGGACGGGCTCAGACCTCCATGGAGGCAGAATATCTGGCCGTCAACTAACGCTGTCAGCGGGAGAAAATCGAAGAGGTCCGTAAAATGTTTCCAGACGGACGCGTTGCCGTATTTGCGGAGACATTCGTCGTAAAAACCGTACACTTGAGTGATCTGACGGGATTCGTGATTGCCGCGGAGAATTGTTATTCTCTCGCGATATCTGACCTGGAAATGAAAGCCATAATTTTACTTAAGCTTCAATATCCTGAAAATTATCTAATGTGATTGATGAAAATCTCGTGACTACTGGTTCCCTTGCCTTCTAGCATTTAATTTTCCAAGATTTAATGTAATAACTTTTAGGGGAATTGATATTAAAAGGAAATACGGATAGATTAACGATAAATTAGAGGTAACTAAATTGTTTATTGTTATTAATATCTTCCGAAATGTTTTGTAGTATGCATATGATTGTCATTACAAGCTTTTTATCAACTTGGTATCTATTTGTCTTGCTGGTTCAAAATTTGTTATCATTTTTCCAAAAATTGCTAACATCAGATTGCACTGATATTTGACATATTTATGTTACTTTGATATCAATGCAATACTATGATATCATGGTGTTGATCTGTTGATGGACCTGGATGTTGGCTCTAACAAGCTTGTAAAGATGGTTTTTAAATACATTTTATATTTAATTAACTTTATTTTTATTATTTATTAACTATCTAAACTTTGAAAATTATTTACATTCATATACCTACAAATAAAATATATGAAAAATAAAAACCGGCCAAGTGCGAGTCCGACTCGCGCACTGAGGGTTCAGAACAAATCCGTAGGTTAAAATTATTAAAAATATTTTTATTATATGACGTAAATAAAAATTTATGCGTTTCGGAATTTTTCCTTTATCTGTGCTATAATACGTTGCTTCGTACCAAATTTTAAGATTCTGAGTTCACGGGAAGTACCCTGTAGGTTTTGATTCCCTTGCGGCATAATATTTGCGGCATAAACGGCTGCATCTTTTGATTGCGTTGGCTTAGGAGTTTGATTTTTTCACTGCTCCAAGGGACAGTAGACTTGAGTATTTGATATGAATTTTAGCTTGATACCTCCACGCGTTCCTGAGAAAAAGGGTCTTGACGGACAGACAGACAACAAAGTGATCCTATAAGGGTTCCGTTTTTTCCTTTTGAAGGTACGGAACCCTAAAAACTGCCATATTGTGTGGTCGGATGTCGAAGACCAGTCGAGCGTCTGGTCGTCCGATGATGGAATGGAGAGGCAGGGATTAAGTCACGCAATTCCTGCGGAAGCTCTCCGAAATGTATGCTGTAAAAATCCGAAAGGCTGGCCACTTTTCGTCCGTGCTTGAGGCTGGTACGAGGGTGGATTGAAAAGTACTCGGCCTAACCAAGAAAATAAACAAATACTAAATCAGTTATATTTTTATTTTTCTACATAATCACCATCAAGTTAAATACACTTTTGCCACCTCCCCTTCCAAGCATTTAGACCGTTGAAAAAAATTGATTCTTCCTTAGAGTCAAAATATGCGTCTACAGCTGCTTTGACCTCGTCGTTTGTCGAAAATCTTTGACCTCCCAAGTGCTTTTTTAGGTTAGGGAACAGACAGAAGTCTGATGGTGCCAGATCAGGTGAATACGGCGGATGCGGTAACAGTTCAAAGCCACAGTTGTGAATTTCAGCCATTGACTGTACTGACGTGTGAACACGGGCGTTATCTTGATGAAACAGGACTTTTCTTCTGAGCATTCCTCGACGTTTTTCTTTTATTTCCTCTCGTAAACGACGTAGTAAGGTGCAGTAGTAATCAGAGTTTATATTCTGACCCCTTTCAAGATAATCAATCATAATCACACCTTTCGAGTCCCAGAATACTGAAGCCATCACCTTATTTGCCGACAAAATCGACTTAGCCTTTTTAGGGGGTGGTGAACCAGGTCTTCTCCACTGTTTTGATTGTTGTTTTGTTTCCGGTGTACAGTAATGAACCCATGTTTCGTCCATAGTAACAAAACGATTCAAAAAATCATCTGCATCGGCTTCAAATAACTCCAAACAGTCGCGTGAAATAGTCAATCGCGTCCTTTTTTGTTCAACTGAAAGCAGTCGCGGAACCCACCTCGCAGACACCTTGTGGAAACCCCACTCGTTGACAATGATGTTTTGAGTTCGTTCATAAGGGATGCCTATAATCTCGGCTATCTCTCTAATTTTTAATCTGCGGTCTCCCATTATTAAATCAAGTACTTTTTTTAATATTTTCGTCAGTAGTTGACGTCGAAGGCCTTCCAGAGCGGGGTTCATCTTTCACACTCTCTCTACCACGCTTAAATTCTGCTATCCATTTTTTGACGGATGAATATGACAGAGCACAATCGCCTAATGTACTGACCATGTCATCATGGATGGCTTTTGATGATAGCCCCTTCTTATGGAGGTACTTAATGACGGCACGCTGCTCGATTTGCTCCATTCGCGGAAATTATGTCCGATTACTTTGTTAATAAATTTATAAAATCACAACTAATTATCGCACACGTTTCGAACTTCACACAATGAACTAGTCTGAACTGAACTAAATAATGTGGGTAGATTTGATTTTTAGAATTAAATGGATCTGTGTTAGGCCGAGTACTTTTCAATCCACCCTCGTAAGATTAGTTCTAACCGTATTGATGTTACTAATAAGCCTCTTAGCATGCCTTTCCATTGATTCTAAAGCCGCAAGGTAGCATTTTGCAGCACCAGTCCATATATGGCAACAACACTCCATCTGTTTCATTTCAATGTTATATGGCAATGGCTAAAAGTTGTATAAATTAACATATATTTTACAGTTTCTCCATGTATGTTATGTATAGTTTTAAAGTGAGTTTGTTACCTTGATAAGCAATGAGACAGCCGAACAATGACAATGTGTCCAATTTTAGCAATTTAAAAGCCTCTGCGTGTTTGTGCCGAAATTATTCGTACCTAATTTGTTTTAATGGGCTTTTATGCAACAATTCGAATTGCTTTTGTAAATATAAAAAAGGATAAAATTAGAAATTCGTAACAGATTATGTGCATTTGGGTACTGGTGATGAAATTTTTTTTTTATCAAATGGATGTTATGAAAATATACTTAAGTGTTAGAGGCGACTTTAGATGCAAGATGTTTCTTTTTTTTATTTAAGTTCGATCTTTTGTACAAACGTTACCCCCACACTAAGATTTTCTCCTGTGTCGTGGAGGCAGTTTACAAAAATTAATTGCACGAAGACAAACATCCAGACCCGGAACAATTATTTGTAGGCCATACAAATACTTGTTCCCTGCGGTATTCGAACCCGCGACCCCCAGCGCTAAGCCACTGCGCCACGGAGCCGTCAAAATGTTAAAATATCAAGTTATCATACTTTGGGAACAACGCACCACTAACATCAAAACTTCTTTCACAATGCGCGTTTAATAATTGATATTTAGGCGAAAGCAACACTTTCATGTATTAGCGATGATAAAACTCATTTTTGAAAGTAAACTGGTTGATAACCTCATGTAAACAGTGACCGAACTTTATCGTCGATAATGGTGATAACAAAGCTGTGTGCAATCACGTACGCTCGCTTACTCATTTACTGCCTGTATTCGTAAAAAGTAAAAACATCCCGTAATTTTTTTTTTATAGAATATTCCAGGATTTATTTGTGTATTGTATCATTCTAATATTAATTATGCATCCACAACTAGAATTTCAGAGTGGCATCTGCACTCACCAACATGCTTAACATGGTGAGTATAGGCAAATGTTCCAAGTAATGTATGGAAATATGTCCAACAGTGGACTTTGACAGGTTTTTATTTTAATTGAGACTCCTTCTCCTATTTTAAATGTATTGAACTATATAAATGATTTATATAGTTCTCCTAGTTTAAAATAAATGTAAAAAAGACTTATGTCCAAATACTCAAAACTACTCAATTTTAAGACGCCGTTAAGTCTCCTGGTGGCATAGTCACTTTGACTTTAAAAGTGATAGAGAGAATACGATAGCTTTTTACGTGGTAGAGCTATGCTGCAGCTATATTTCTGGCATAGTTGTAACAGGAATGGGTCGGCTCGACCGGGGAAGGACCACGCTCTCACAGAATACCAGAGTAAAATAGCAGCTTAACGCTGCTGTTTCGTATGGTGAGTGTAGAGAACCGGAGACCCTTTTTGCTGGAAACGAGGCATTCCATCTTAGTCCTCACGGTTGACAACGTATCTGCATTTTGATTCGTAATCGAGGATAGATGTGAGATGTCTATGGGCCACAGCAGCCACTTACCATCAGGTGGACTGTGTGCTCGTTTGTCACCCTTATCCTATAAAAAAAACGAGACTTTCTTAAAATTGAGTAGCGTTTGAATATTTGGCCAGAAGCAAATTGAATAAACCAGATGGTCAGCAAAACTATTTAATTAAGACCATCCTATTGTGGTCGTTCAGTATGGCTGTACAGCAACATATTCTTTATAGCATTTTGCTCAGTCTTTTACTAAGTAAATAAAATTACAGTTACATACAATAAAGAAGAAAATAAATAAAATTAGGGACCACATTGTCGGGTCTTGAGCCTACTGATAGTAGTATTTACGCTCTACTAGATAAAACTAAAATCCAAAAAAGAGGCCATAAGAATTATTGTTGCTTTTGGTATAGCTAAAGCACTTTTTTCATAAGATGTGTTGTGAAAAAAGTGCTGATCCTAATATGTTGACTGTGTTAAGGCTATTTTGATTAATTTATATAATATGCAGTGTCTATATAGTTTGCTTATAGTAATTTAGTTTCAATTTATATGAACATAGTAGTAGCTTGTAGTAATGTAGTAGCAGAGTAAGAATCCCCACTACCCCAGGAGATGAGCAGCAGCGTCTTCCTAATAATCTATAGCAATCAGAAAATTTATGGGGAAGGCCTATGTTCAGCAGTGGGCTTTAATAGGCTGTAACAGTAACAACAGTAACAATTATATGAAGACTTCATGAAGACAAATATGCTGTGTGATTTGTCTACAACATTAATATAATGAATATTAATAATATAAACAGTAACAAGCAGTGTTTTATTATTCATATCGGTTTGCAGTATATTTTAAACCGTGAGCTAAGGTACGTTGGGGTAAGATCGGTGATGGGGTAAGACCGTAGGATTCAAATTCCCGGCGAATTATGCTATATTTTGAAAAGCTAACAATATGCTACACGACACCATTTCATCCTGCCCCGACCCTCAGTTCGCGCCAGTCACTCCGGCAAGTGGGACCTGTGCTGCGTGGCATTTTATAAAACAATGTAATTTTTGTATTATTTTTGTCCATCCGATCTTTCCCTATCACTTTTATTTACGATTTTTAGCGAGAATATGGCTTCTTTTGTTATTATTTTGTGTGGATACTAATTTTTATGAAGTTATAGCTAAATAAAGCTGGTCCATGCAGGGGTAAGATCGCTGTAGGCCGAGATCCGATGTTTCCCCTCGTGAGTGAAGATCGGATGAATATTATCCGATCTTTGCCTGTTACAAATATGGCAGTGGTTGTTAAACTTTCATTGGTCGTGTATATTTTTTCGTTGGTTACTCAAGTGACTATGGGACTCAGTCTCGTTAGCAAGTCTGTATATTTAAAAGTAATAAAACAATACGATGGTTTTATTACTTTTAAGTACACATTAAAATACATTTTTTTTATAGGATAAGGGTGACAAAGGAGCACACAGTACACCTGATGTTAAGTGATTGCTGCGGCCCATAGACATCTATATCTATCCTCTATTACAAATCAAAATGTAATTTATAATAATTATTTAAAAAATAATTTATAATAATAAATGCCGCTTTGTTAAAATATTTATATCTTCCTTAACTCCTGCATTATCCCAGGGCATTTCGCCAGTCCTTACTGTTATTTTTTTTTCCCATATAAAATCAAATGCATATCCGATCTTTCTCTTATATTGAGTAATTCCATCTTATGTCAAAGTTTGAGAAACATAAAATTACAATTTCTTTATATTAGGGATAAGATCGGATGGCAAGAAACAAAAAAAGAGAAAATCGTTTGGAACATTTATGTTTCTAGTAATTTATAGATCATATTGAAATATGTTTTTGAGCGTTAAAGATAGGACAAATCTCTTTTATAAACTTTTTTCTCTAAGCAGTAGAAGTGGTTTTAAATTTAAGTTCGGTCTTACCCCTTAATGGCCAATTTTTCATTATGCATATAAAAAAGTATGTCTAGTTTTCGCACACCTTTAAAGCAGAAACCGTTGAGTTTACACAAGGAAAAGATTCTCAGAGCTAAACTACGTTTAACGATTAACGGTTTGCTCCATGTTCCATAAATCTGACGTATACGAATGTCGAGAAATTAAAGTTTTCGGCAGACTCTTCCAACTATTCGAAAATCCGTCCGGTATTACCCCAACGTACCTTATTTATTTCTGCCAGCTGAGTTACAGTTACAGGAGCTCATGTCTGTAGTGATTGTAGCTAACAGCTATAGTCCTTTTATTATTAAACTAGCTGATACCCGCGACTTCGTCCGCGTTGCTTAATATATTTACAAAGTTATATATAATAAATACGACTCCCCACTTCTCCGCGGCAAGAAAACACACATCACTAAACACGTAGTGCTTATAAAAATCGTTGTTTCTTAAAACTTTAATAACTTTATATTACATGAATACATCGTAATATTTTTTTTTCAGAAAAGGGTCAAGGGTCTAAGAAAACTTAGAAAACCTAATTGAAATTTATCCAGTAGTTTTTCCGTGATGCGCGCACAACTGCAAACCTTTATCATTTTATTTATATAGATTATTTAAGAAACATTCTCAAGTGCACAACTCAAAAAAGGCGAGTTATTTTGGTGAGTCTAGAACAAATTTAAATTAGAAATTCAATCGAGCTTTGATTGGCACTCTTTCTTATTTATATAGGAAACAAAATACTTAATGTTTCAGGAAATACAATCAGCAATCATTAGTTGTCTGTACCAGTCGTAACGTAAACGTAGCTTACAGAGTGCAAAAGATTTTATTTGTGTTCCTCTAAATCAACTTGCATAATATTCTCGACGAAACCTTAGAAAGTGTCTAATGGTTATTTATATTACAGTGAATAGGCAAATGTGCGACGGAAAGTGTTTTAAATTATTAGTATAACAAGCACATCATTTTTATTGATTTATAAAGTGTGATAAATTTTATTGCACATGGCACTTAGGCCTCTCTATTAATTGTCTCGAAGAGGATACTTGCCATTAGAGATTCGAATAACGGCTTAAAATGGACAACAAACATAAGTGACTAATTATTTTTTGTAATCTACTTCTAATAACTGCTAATTTGTTTGATTGATTATATTTTTTTATTTCGTTTTATAATTAATCGTGACTCGTAAAAAGTTTAGTTAAGAAAAACATTATTTGCTGTTAGCTTAATGACCTTTAACTACATTTAAAAAAGTTTTACGTTATTAGTCTGTTATTTTCTTCACTATATTATAAATTTAACTGACTTTTTTTCGTAGGTACTTAACACAGGCTAAGGACTGTCTGAATATAATTTGAATTATTATATTTAGGATCGGTTGTTTAATATCTGTATTGTTATTAATAATTATCCTAGATGGTGCAGTTTCAAAAATTCATCAAAATGCAGACGAGCATGTTTAATTTAGAAATAAGCAATGAACGTTAATTACTTTTTAAATTTAATTTGTTAAATTGCTTACATTGAAAAAGGCTGTTACATTAAATATGCTCAATAAGCAATAATATCGTTAAGAGGCCAATCTTTACTTGCTATAGTTACCATGCTTGGCAGGCAGCAACCGCCGTTTTCTTTATTTTGAGCTATAATATCAGAAAGGTGTTGCTGCCCATTCAATGTCTTAGCTTCTTACGAATTTACGATACCCACGAGTGGGATCTATTCCGACGCCACTACACAGCAATAGTGCATGGCATATTGAGATAAACATTTATATTATAATCTCATATAAATTCCGTATAGAAATAAAAAAAACCTAGTTGAGACACGAAAGCGGTACTACTCATATCACGCACAAGAGACAAAAAAGATTCACGGAATGTCATTTGAGTTTTCCATTGTATCTGAATTTTATTGCAATAAGACAAAGAATGTTACCACCTCTATACCGTAAAGCAACACTGAATATTTTGAAATTTTCTCTTTTGTCACACAAAGAGCTGCAAAATTACACTTTTTCTGAACAGGCCACATAAGGCCTTATAAAACAGACTTGTTCTTTGCATACTTTTTATTTTATTTTATAAGCGTCAACAACCACTTTATGCTACTTAATTAGAGTTAATTTTATTTTGACTTGGAAGTTTCTTTTTAAAGTTTGACTGTAGGGATTTGAACCTAAGAACTGTAACTTAGTATTCAAGGTATTCGGCCGTCATACCAATGTTTACCTTAAGTGCAACAAGCAATGTGACTGTCTCCACGCTATAGTAGCCGCGGTCAACGTAGTCGCCCATGAACAGGTAGTTGGTGTCGGGTGAGCGGCCGCCTATGCGGAACAGCTCCATCAAGTCGTGGAACTGACCGTGTACATCGCCGCAGACGGTTACTGGGCATTTTACCTCTTGCACATTTGACTCCTTGGTGAGGATCTCCTTTGCCTGTAGAAAAAGAACAAGAATTGTTAATCAACATTAAGAAGCGTCTTTGATAAATGTTCTCTCACAGTGTTTTATTTCGTGAGGAAGTCAACCGGAATCTTTTTTACCCGACTGCCCCAGAAAGTGGGTAATGCTTTTCGGGAGTATGTTTGTAATATGTATATTTCTTTGGCACGCTCTGTAGCCTAAACGACTTTAAGGATTTTAACACATGAGGTGTCGTTAGATTTGTCTTAATTATGGGAGTAACATAGGCCATATAATATTTATATATTGCTTCTGCAAAGGCAAAAAAGGAGGGAAAGGTTTTTTTTTTAGTAAAGTTTTTTTAACGCATTCGTGTTTTTTTTAAACAAGGCATTCAATTTTAATAATCACGAGGTGACAACGCATATACATTTAGATTCTTAATCGAGTCTATGGGTATCCACCTACTCCGTCGGGCCGACTTCGATTGTATGTGCGTTGGTTATTTTTAAATATATCAAAACTAATTTAACAGTAAGAGCCGGTTAACTGAGACGTAACGTTTTATATCGCTCTTGATGTAACTGTCGCGGCGACAGTTTATAGTGAACGCGGAATGCAGAACTCTGCATTCTAGCAACTCTCATGCGCTCACTGTGAGATCGTCGGCTTAACGATGTTTCCTTAGTTAGTTGGATTTGTTCGTTACCGTATAAAATACACGTAGACAAAATTCTAGACGGATTACATGAAATAGTTTTATGTCTAAGAAGAATGTGTAGGTCATGTATATATGGTGATGACAGTATATTTTGATGAGTTTATTTGGCGATAGTTTTAGTCACACGAATTATTTTTTAAACCCAAATTCTCCACTAAATGTGATAAAAAGATTATTTCCCACCAAACGTCAGCATATATCTTATATTTCTTGTAATTATAATTAAAAATAATATATAATAATTAATATTTTAAGTTAAGTACAACATATCATGTAAAAAGTCCATACAAAGTATAGAGAGAAAATTTTAATGAAGCCAGAAAAATTATTTTGCTACATAACAGTTGATGCATCAAGTATCATGTATGCAATATATATTATACGAATAGCATAGGTTAAATAGATTATGGTGAAAACCTCTTCTGTTTGCAAACTTGCAACACAGTGCTTTGTGTAGTTGGCAACTTTAGGTTTTATTTGGTTGTACTCGTAGTTATATCATCCTTAGAGATCGCCTACGTACCATTACAGTTATTTGTCTTAGGTAAGAAAAGAAGGTAGGGGTCAGTTATTCACAATTTTTGTTTTGTACATTACTGGCTGCGACTGGTATACAAATCCAGTACACACGAAGTAAGATCGTCTATATAATAATAATATAATATATAATAAAATAATAATATAATCGTGTGTACTGGATTTGTATACCAGTCGCAGAAGAAGTCGCACAATTTTAGACTAGTGATTTATCGATCGATATGACCATGATCAGTCCTGGTTTCTAGCCGTTTCAATTAAAACCGGCTACTAATACGCCTGTAGCAAAGATAATTTAGAGTTATGATGTAGAGAATTTAAATAGAGAAATGCTATTTCCTGAAACGTCTCGTAGTCAGGTCAGCAAAGGCACCGAACCTCCGGAAACTAAGAGTGTAGAGTAGTCGTGGAAATTATTTCGTCAGTGGGTTGGCAACTGCTGTGCGAAATGGACGGTTTATTTATATGACACATTGCGGACGATAAATGCGAACGGAAACCAACAAAGGAAATGAAAAATAAAAAGGTAGTAAGAGTTTAGGTACTATAATAATAATAATAAGCCTAGTCTACGCCATAGACTAGCCAACTGCGCAGGACAGAATTATAGTACACGAGCACAGAATAAATAATAGTACTACGTAACACGAATGTGTAGACACCCTATTCCCTTCTCTAGTCCGATGGGACAGCAATCCAACACTACCGGAGAGAGATCAGACGCAGGAACAACAGTTTAACGTGATTTCTGAGGCACGGGTAGGAAACACCGCTTACTTCCTGACTCCACGCTGTTTCCCGGGATTCAAACACAGATCGGCAGTCACGCTTACGACGACGAAACTAACGAGGCAGTGAAAACGATGATATCAGGACATTAAACACCTCAGTTTCAAATTACCATGAGAGTTGCAAAGCACTAGAAATCTCGGGAAAAAAAAAACTTGCCAAAAACTGTTTAAAATATTATAATTAGTTCAATTTTTTTTTTAAATATTTTTTAAAACACGTTATCTCCACACTAAGATTTTCGCCTGTATCGTGCAGGCAGTTTACAAACATAAATTGCACAAGGACAAACATCCAGACCAGGATCAATTATTTGTAGGCCATACGAATACTTGTTGGAATTCGAACCCTCTGTGCCGCAACTCAAGCTAAACCACTGCGCCTCGGAGGCGTCAATTTTCACAAGGCCACTCATAAAATCAACTTTCCACGTACATGACATGACATAAAATCTAAATGTTTTGATGTTAAAAAATTTTACCAACAGCTAAATTTATACATTTACTATTGCGATCGAGTCACTGTTTGGGAAAATATTACCTGATGATATATGTACAATAGAGAAATAAAACGAACAATATTACCGCTGGTATGAGTGTGAGTGTGAGCACAAACACAGAGGTTTATTTTTCTTCAGCTTATTAAAATGGCCATCGACAGATGTTTAGAACACGGGATCAATTGTTTTGAGTAGACAGCCCGCGAATAGAATGTTTTGTTTGGCTTGCGTCGCGAGTCGATTGTTAATAACAGTCCTATTGAAATCTCGTCGACAAGCGTTGGTACTAGTGTTCAGTACCTGGCCACCACGCGGTGTGTCCTGGATTCGAACCCTAAATTTGAAAAACCGAAAACTGATGCTTTTCTGGTCCGGTTGTGTTATGATTGTCTTCGTGTCTGTAACTGCGTCCCAACCTATTTCTTTTTTATATTATATATTATCAACCATACGACGATATTGGTGTCCACTTCTTTCCTAACAGCTGACTTCACTGTACTTGAGCTTGACTGCTACACAGTTGAGATAATTTATTTTAAAATAACACTGCTTAATCAACTAGAACTTTTTTTAAGAGAACAAGATCGCAGTAAAAAAGACGCCGAATAAAGATCTTTTTACATGACATTCCTGAGCATAGGTCAGAAGAACACTACTCACTAGTCAAAGCGCTTATTTGTGCCAATTTGTAGATGTTCTAACCTTCGACGTCCTTTTTATAAATTACCCACGTCTATATTGATAAGGTGTGGGGTACTCAAAAACCAAACTCGAAGATTCATTTCTTGTCACCATCCATATAAAACACATCAGCTACTATGCTCCTAACTACGTAACATAGTAGCATGATGATGTTATGACAAGATGGATATTTTGATGGCAAATGCGATCTACAAGGTGAGCCGGCATTCTGACATACTATTTAGTGTTTTTCGAATATGCACCCGGTTTCGTTTTCACATAGTTTGAGCAAACGGGTTGGCAACCGCACGTGGCAAGATGCTGCCGTCTACATCCAGATTTTTGAGTTTATCCGATATTTTAGACGACTTCAAATGTTATCGTGACTGCAGTTTGAAGGTGTAGAGTATTTTAATATACCAACATTCTTTATTATACAATCCTAAAATATTCATCAAAACGAAACCATCTTTTCTCTAAAACGTGCGGTAAGAAAACAAAGAACAGGAAACGGATCAGACGTTCCCACAAATAAAATGGCACCAGTTTTAATAATAAATATGCAGTAGACAATCCCGGGTACGGATGTGACAATTCCGACATTTGCTATACTAGGATAATCGCAGCACGACTAATTTGTGATGCTATGGAAGAAAATTTGTAAGTGAATTATTTTTAATTAAACAAAAAGAATATTAAAGTTTTGTTAAAGGTGATTGCAATATTACTCTCTAAGATATTTTTAAATGGCTGATTTTTCAATCATTAGATAAAAGTTGTCTATAAAATTCTATATTATACGTATATAATACGTGGTAGAGCCACGCTGCAGCCATATTATGGTTGTGGCACAAAAGGGTCGGCTCGGCCGGGGTAGAACCATGCTCTCACAGAATACCAGCGTAAAATAGCAGCTTATTGCTGCTGTGTTTCATATTGTAAGTGTAGAGAATCGGTTACCCTTTTTACTAGAAACGAGGAATTCATTTAGGTGTGACAACGCATCTGCATGTTTTAATTAAGGATAAATGTAGATGTCTATGGGTCACAGCATCCCACTTACCATCAGGTGGACTGTGTGCTCGTTTGTCATCCTTATCATATAAAAAATATACCCTGACTGAATACAAAAGTTAAACAATTGAACTATTATATTTATTTATTTTTTTTATAGGAGAATGAGAATGCGGCTCACCTGATGGTAAATGACTACCGCCGCCCATGAACAACTGCAACACCAGGGGAATTGCAGATGCCTAAATTGTTAATTTGTTTTTTTTTCTTCTGTATTTATCCTATGATTAGATTTTATTTGGTGATTAAATATTAACCCTTATACTGATTTCACACCAAAATTGACCCTATATCAAAGGAGGTAAGGGGCCTTTTTATACGTATAAATTGCACACAAATACCGGACAGTTATTTGTAGGCCATACTTGTCCTGTGCGGAAATCAAACCTGTGGCCCACACCTCCGCAATCAAAATATAAACAATCCTGCAGCACCATTCCACCTGCCTTAATCATCAGGAATGATGTTAACACACTTATATACATCGTGCCGTTTATAAGATGTAAAGGCATGTAGTGTAAACAATACTGATAAATTTGTTTTTTTATCTGCTCTTAATAACAAAACGTAAGTGCACCGGTCTACGAATTATTTTGCAATATCTTAGTCTATCGCTACAATCACATTATTATTTTTTATCGAACTACGGAATATTTTTTTAAATATATAATTTTCACATACGCTACACACCAGGCCTAAAATTCAGTAAAAAAGCAACAAGGACACAAAATG